AACTGAGGAAGGAGAACCTACTTCTAGTAAATAGGATCGCATAACACTTTTTTTTTAAATCGTAATTTTTCAACAGTTCATGTTTTCATATGATGTTGACTTAGAATGTATGATCATGTAACAACCTTTTCTCTATAAAGAATAAATTTTCGACTTCAGATAGAATCGGAATACGTATTGAAAACAGGGGAAAAAATATTTGATTACGTTATAAAAATGGCGCGTGCTGCCGATAACTACGGCTTCTGTTTCGGACCAAAGGAACTGATTAAAGAAAAGTTGTCTCAGCATAAAAAGGTCCATTTAAAAGTATGCTTTAATCTCTGTAAAGTATTGAAAAAATATAATTATCAAGTATCTCAACACGTTCCTTATTGACACATATTCTACATGTACACGTAGTGGTTTTGCCATACAGTTTATTGTGTGTGATGGTTAATATGACTTCCTAAATGTTAGCGTTTGGAGACAGTGAAAGTGGGAAAGAGAGTATACATAGATTTATATTCATGGTCTAGAAAAAAAATGGCCAAAGACATTGAGTTGTTTAATGTAATAAATAAATTCACAAACGTTTCCTTTTTATATTCGCGTGTAGTTTGTCATTGCATATATGCACTTTATGTAAACATTTGAAAAGGGATATTCGTCTCGTGAATATTCCTTTTTACAGAAAGGTTTGTCCCATTGTTGAGGGAGTGTTTAGCCCCGTACCACCTGTACCGGTCACGGGAGAAGGCTGTGATAAATTGTAAAAACTTGTGCCCCATCCTTTGTTTAATTTTATTGGCAACAAATTTATGTTAAAAGCTAAATAAATTTAAATTCTTAATATTGGCAAGTGTGCAATTAACTTCTGATGATGAATAATTACTGTTCAATAAGTTTGAATACGGAATTAGAAATCATATAACTTGGTTTCATAGTGCGGTAAGAAGTTGCAGTTGCCTGACGGCCCCTCTCTGAGGGCCCCTTTGTAAACCGTTTCATCTCGCTCGCACCACTTGTGTTTGCTGCCTAATCAGGTGACGTTATCGGCGCTATTTTTAGCCGGGCTTTCCCGAACAATCTTAGTGGTCAAACTGGACATTTGGAACGGACTATGAATATGGGGATAGCGAGGTAACATAAGTGGAAGTGCATACAATACATACATTCTTTAAAAAAACGCCTTTTCACGTGATGTCCCTTTAATGTATACACATGTGCACAGAAACGATCATCGTACGGACTGGCCTGCTGTCGTTAGATTGACACACACCAACGGCAAAGCTTCTGTGTGAGACCAGTCTACAATAAGTACACCGTCTGATGAGTTAGGCATGCCCGAAACGTACTGAACGCATATCATATGAGAAGTACGTAAGCAGCTTATACCATTCATGACATGTGTCTATAGGTACCTACGATGGTATATGTATGTATGATATTATTGGCACACATTGAAGTACATTATACTCATGCAACATGAGGCGAAAAAGCGTCAACGGTCACCTAAGTTGTAATTTGATAGTTATTTTCTTCTATTGAGATATGAGATTGAGATAGTGTATTATTTCCATAGTAAAAACAAAAATGAAACAAGAACACACACATACTAACAATATTGAAATTAATAATAAAATGTGTCCCCATTTTCTCTGTATTGATCAAGGGAATTAAAATGTAACTTAATGAAAGCTCTATATCCTCGCTATATCCTTAAAAGTTAGGTTTGCATCGGTTTATTATAAAGATGCCTAAATGTAACTCCACATAATGGATTTGGTGATATGGGGCTTATGAAATTAAGGTTAAAGTCACCTGAAAATGTTAATCCTTCCCTTTCCCACCCCTCTTAATTATAAGTCATATTTAAGGACCTCAAATTAAATATCGAAATTAAGGTTCAAGAAACTTTATATAAAGTCGCATACATGTAAACAAAGGACATTAGTTCTTGAGACCTTTTATTGTGACAAACATTTGTAAAATAACACTAACACGTTATATCACAAGTAAAAGAAGATACTCCCATATATTAATAAAAAGCAATAATTATCACAGAAAAAGAAAATATCCTATCCCAGGTTTCTCCCTGATATGGATCCCCCTTCCAACAAAGGCCCGGGACAAGACACTTTGATACAATAAATATATCAGAAAAGTGTAAATGTGAAAAGTAATAAATGTGATCACAGATAAGAAGTATTCAGAATAGGTTTATAAAAGACACAGGTAATAGTGAATGCATGTATATCACACAAGAATTACTTAGGATTAAAACACTATCTAGTGACATAGAATGAAATTAGACAGAATATAAAATAGTGTGAAATTAAAAAAATGATACCGAAATCATTTAACAAAGTCAAATTTTGTAAAAAATATTTTCTAGAAAGAATGGAATTAGAATAAGAATAAGATACTGCAAATTATAGAATAGGATTAATACATATATATGAATACAAACCAGGGCAATATGGAGTATCACTCCATATTATGCAATTTTGATATATTGAACTTGTACCTATGATATCAAAATGGGACATAGTGAAGTTAACCTAGTCTGTACATTTAATTAGACAATTTAAAAATATTATAATAACTGTTCACTACCATTATTTCATCTCAATCTCTTTTAAACTGAAAGCTACGACATGACACATTATCTTAACTGTATCTATACCTGGGTCAAGCGGGAAATGCTTTTATTAATTGTAGAGAGGTGCCCCGGCTTCAAACCAAGATGGTTGTGGCTATTTGAAACCAAAACGCCACAGTTAAATGCCACAGAAACATATACATTTAAGGGCCTGATGATCGTTATAACTTAAACGTTTACATAGAGCATTCCGTAGCATTTAGTGTATTAAAACAGCTAGGTGTTTATTAAACATTGTACATGTAGGACATTTTATTGACAATTTATAAAACCACATATATCATCCAAGGGCACATCATATCAAAACCATTTATCAATTAAATTCACTTACCATTCATTTTCTTATTCAAAATCTGCGTAATATATATATATATATGACTATAGTGGTTTTGCAAATCCACATACATCTGATATGCTATTTAAGATATCTCATATACAAATTAAATACAATATGTTAATTAAGTATATAAGATACATTGTAAAATTGATATCTCGCTACTATATGAGATATCTTAATTATGTATCTTAATTATTAATTACAGTAACACGATTTCACAATGAAGAAGATATCGTATAAAGGCAATTAAATGATATACATCTAAAATAGCGTGTCATTTAATTTCTAAATATGAATCTTATATATATATAGTATATAAGATATCTCATATAGAAATTAAATACAAGAAGTTAATTAAGTATGATAGCTTATGTAATTTAGATAACGCTACTATATAAAGCTAGCTTATGTAATTTAGATATCGCTACTATATAAAGATAGCTTATGTAATTTAGATATCGCTACTATATAAAGCTAGCTTATGTAATTTAGATATCGTTACTATATAAAGATAGCTTATGTAATTTAGATAACGCTACTATATAAAAATAGCTTATGTAATTTAGATATCGCTACTATATAAAGATAGCTTATGTAATTTAGATATCGCTACTATATAAAGATAGCTTAAGACTACTTTAGACTTCTCGTGTTTGTATGAGGACACTTCATAATACTCCATCCCATATACCTACTGACCAAAACTCAGGACCTTTGACCTAATGGAACTTATGAAAATCATCATATTTGTTTTCTTATTAATCTACAAATGTTTACATTTGACCCATTAAAAACTTAAAACTCATTTTGCCTGTGTATTTTTGAATGAAGTTCAAAATCGATTATTCAACCCAACAAGCTACATAGAAAATATGACTCGAGGCGTTATATTTCTTTAGAAGAACTCGTTTAAAGTAAAACCCCAAAGACGGACGGCGTGACTTAAGTTCAACTGTACTTCATGCCGGGTGAATTTATAACGGAGCGTATAACAGAAGATCGTAATTTATACTTTATGATATTACGTCTATAACATAATTTTATGATATCTCGTCTATAACACAAGTTCATGATAATTCGTCTATGACATAAATTTATGATATCCTGTTTATAACGTAAATTTATGATATTTCGTCTATAACATAAATTTAAAAATCAATAACACAATTGTATGATAGTTTGGCAATGACATACGTTTATGGTGTTTCCTCAATAACATAAATTTATGATATTTCGTTTATAGCATAGGTTTATGATATTTCGTCTACAAGTGGTTGTATGTTATAACATTTGTCATTGTAAAAGTTCATGTTCACTTTATTGACTGACAGTTTGTGTGATATTTTTCTGTGTTCCAGCTGTAAGAGAGTTAAGATTTATGCTGTATTGGCTGTGTACGATAGGACTGACAGTTTGTGTGATATTTGTCTGTGTTCCAGCTCTAAGAGAGTTTAGATTTCTGCTGTATTGGCTGTGTACGATAGGACTGTCGGTGTGTGCAGTTTACGGTAAGAGTCGGTGAGTAAACTCGGTATGTAAATATGTCATACAATGCATCAAAACTGTCTGACAATTAAGTATTTTATACAGCTAGGAGTCTGATTACACAGATGGGAAACTGATACGTAGTTTTTGAAATTCCTGTTGGTGTATTCATCTGAGAGAAAAACATTGTATTTTACAAGAAACTGACTTAAGATTTTTTTTGAATTATATGATATATAGATAGTGTCGCGGAGACAGCCTGTCTGGTGTTTCACAGTTTTAACTACATGGTTTTACAGAAATACATACAAAATATATAACTCCCGCCATTAGGTAATGTCCATAATATGTGTATAGTATATCAAGTGTGACAGTAATGTTTAAAGTAATGATGTCATAGGTTGTATGGTATAGTGGTGTATGGTGCTGTCATGTATGTAACATTGTCCATGTGTTCAGATGTCAACAGTCCCATGTGCTTCTGTGTATGTTTACCTGTCCTGTGACCTGTGACCTATATATAAAGTACCTGTTGGTCATGTGACTGCCACCTCAACTGTATCCCTCACCTGCATGCTTTCTACCTCTGTGTGCAAGAAACTGGCAGCCATGCTGGGTGTAACATTTTGATACCAGAATTTAGAAGAGAACCAGGTATGCGTTTGGGTGTTACATATGTTTTATAATAAGGAAATATTGTCCCATGGTTGTTTCAAAGAAGCTCCCTAACTTTTAATAACTTTATATCTCAAAATAAGCTTTATTGAGCCAATTACTTCTACCTGCCATTTTTAGCATTGGTCAACCTGTATAATGAATATCGGGAAAGTATTGGCTATGTTAGAGACCATTCTATTTTAAGTAATAAACTTAAATACCAATTAAACATTATGTTAACTAGCTATAACCGTCTAATGATTATTATGACCCCATAGTAAAGGATATTTTGGTCCAGGTGTGAAATGGAATTCGAGTAGACCTGTGTAGTGACCTGTGTAGTGTACAAGCACGGAGCTAGCCCCTGTCGGAATGATAGAGTAAGTTCACGTTTAATTAATGTAATGTAATTAATAATAAAATGTATTTCAGATATTGTATATTATTGATAGTATTTAATTAGTCGATTAAATAGGCCATAGAGCCACATAGTTTTACAAGTAATGCCACTATAATAATGGAATATGTGACGGAGCTAAATTATATAGTATTAATTACCGTATAATTATAGATAATAAATATAATTAGTTTGATAGGTTTTATACTTTATAAATACATTGTATGGTGTATAATGTAGTATTTCAGTGAAACATTGAGTCAGTCTCTTATACGTGTGTTATTGTGTCATTGTAGGGTGTTTTCTACGTTACGTCTTGTTTGTGCTACGGTTGCTGTTGTTTTAAATAAATGGTGGAAACAAAGTCCGTCGTAGTCTGTGATGATTCCCCAGATGGGAGATAAACCCCACCCCCACCAAAATAGTATACGAATATCTATAATTAAACTCCCAGCCCTGCAGGTGGGGGATCGGGAAAAGAATACACATGCTGTTACCCACTGCATGTATCTTTGGAGGCGACTGATGCGGGAACCCCCATGCAGAATTGGAGAATTGCCTTGGTGTCCTCTATATTTGGGGACACAAAAGGCACCAAAATAAATCTGCTGCACACAATGCAATATTTCGCACCTTTTTCTTTCTTTCTACCTTTTATTTCCTAGCACCTTGCTTGGCAATAACTCACGTTTGGCCTTAATATTGAGCGTTCGCCCAGGTGAGGAAGGCAATGGGTTCTGTCCCAAGTCCTTAAAAATGGTAGTTAGTATTCCCTGCTTAACGTTCAGCGTTTAGGTGAATGGCGCAACAACTGGTTCACCCGCTGTCAGTTCTGGGTGACATCGGCATGGTATTTCAGTGAGATAGCACCATAAAGTAGGCATCAGATCCACACTATCACAAGGTGGCAAGCACACCAACATACCCTGTCTCATGCATACACACACGCAAGCACGCATACACTACACACATGGAGGCACGTCCTTACATAACCTTAGCTGTTAATAGGACGTTAAACAAAACTAAACCAAACCAGACCTATGGAACGTGTCCTGCCTAGCTAATAAGTGGAACCCAGCGATTGTTTTCTTGACATATTTTGAAATCTAAGTAGGTACGTAAATATATGTTGGTAACTTGATTTGCCGCTGTATGGCTGAATTATTTTATTTTGTAACGTAAATGAAACACTGACAGGAAAGGAACCCGCCATTTGCCTGACCGCAACCCCTCCCCGGTCTATTTCAAGTAGCAGTAACCTTGACCTTTTTTTATAAATCCCTATCGTACATCTACATTAAATACAATGAATCACCATATCAAAGACAGATGGATACTGTATAGGGCACACAAATATCCAATGCGGGCCCTTATTAACAAAAACATATTATAAACAAGAGTCCCAAGACCTTAACGGTCACCTGAGTTACATCATAGGTTCTAGTGGCTTTATTTTATTGATTAGATGTGATGTGGAAATCAGCATGTAAACCAAGTGAAATACAATTTTACAATGTAATACCCTCATTCACCAAATATGATTCTGACTAAGTTTGAGTAATTTTCGGTTGAAAATGGATAAATTATACCCAAAAGTGTTATTTCCCTAAATAAACTATGGTAAACTTAACCACCTCCCCAATGGAGAACGAATAGCTCGGGGTCCTGAAATTGACAATTTAAATAAAGCCCCTGATGATCTTTCTTTCCATGCACTGAAAATGAATGTAGTATCGCTGAGCCTGGAGAAGAAGATTTTTGAAATATTGGTTATTTTTTCCTTTGGGGCCCCGCCCTGGCCCCAGGGGTTGGGGTTGGAATCCCAATTTTACAATTTTGTAGCCTCATCTACCAAGGATGATTCTGACCAAGTTTGACAAAAATCCATCGACTGGTTCTTGAGAAGAAGTTGAAAATGTAAAAAGTTGACGGACGACGCACGACGCACGACGACGGACGGAAAGCGATTAGAATAAGTCATTTGAGCAAAGCTCAGGTGACCTAAAAACACACAACAAAACATCGATAACATAGTTACCAGATTTCGTCGGCACTGTGGAGTGTCGTGAAGGGTTACACCACTAGGATGTGCTAAAGGAGCATTTTAAATCAAGAAGTTTGTAAATGTTCTTCAAAACAAGTTATATATAGATATTCATCCTTCCTCTCTAAATACTTTGTGGTCACCGTGTTCGTGTGTCGATACAAAAGTGTGCCAGTACGAGTGCACCTAACGACCGTCCTTAATATGAAACATTGACATGTCGAACTTGACCTTACAAATCGAACAGGTGACTACACCCTACTTTAAATGTAGAAGAATGTGACGTCAAATTGTGAAGATTTACATCATTTTATCTCTTAGAATGAATGTCACATAGAATAGATAGAGATTAGTGTATGTTGTAAACACAGGGACCTAAGATAGTTACAGCTATTTTTAGGTACACTATTTTTGTACCTAAACGTATTTTACACGTTTGTGGGGTTTTGATCAATACCCCTCAAACGTGTAAAATTACTCTAAACACCTTATTTTAGGTCCAAATATAGCTTTTACAAATTCCAAGGTCCCTGACTGTTGTTGAATACAGGCTCTAACCCCTAAAATTATAGGTGTTTTCATGTACTGTACAGCACATTCACAATAAGTCAGAAATAATTGTCTCCGCCCAATCAAAAGAGTTGAATAGGAGATCTTTATGTTGGACTCATTCACAATAAAAACATGTACACAAACAAGCGTTACGGACAGGACAAACAGTGTCCGAAGTAGTAAGGCGGTCAACAAGCAGGCAGGATTCGGCATCGGTCAAACATTATTCAAACAAGGTGGCTCAGGTTTTCGACAATAGCAAAACTATCTTGGAATGACACTATCAAAACAGTGGTTAAGTCAAGAACTTTTTTTTAAAGTTTGGGGTCTGTACGTAAATGTATAAAGCCCTCTAAAAGACTGTTCATATGATTACAGGGACCTGACACTTTGTAACAGTTGATTTGTATTGACCTATCCTGAAGTGTAGGTAGTAATCAACTCTTGGAAAATTACCAACCAAGATGATGGTACACACTAAAAAACTGACCCCACAAAACGTCCTTGCATCAAACATCAAAATTCTTGAAGATTGTTTGGGGATAGTACAGTAGAGTGTAGTGGATGTAGTGATATAATGTAGTGGATGTAGTGGTAGAGTGGAGTGGAGTGGAGGTAGTGGTAGAACCAAGTGGATGCAGTTGAAGAGTGCAGTGGATGTAGTGGTGGATGTAGTGGATGTAGTGGTAGAGTGTAGTGGATGTAGTGGTGATAGTGTAGTGAATGAAGTGGATGTAGTGGTAGAGTGAAGTGGATGTAGTGGTGGATGTAGTGGATGTAGTGATAGAGTGTAGTGGATGTAGTGGTGATAGTGTAGTGGATGTAGTGGTGGATGTAATGGTNAGATGTAGTGGTAGAGTGAAGTGGATGTAGTGGTAGAACCAAGTGGATGCAGTTGAAGAGTGCAGTGGATGTAGTGGTGGATGTAGAGGGTGTAGTGGTGGAGTGTAGTGGATGTAGTGGTGGTAGTGTAGTGGCGATAGTGGTAATAGTGAAGTGGATGTAGTGGTGGCTGTTGTGGTGATAGTGTAGTGGATGTAGGGGTGGATGTAGTGGATGTAGTGGGAGATGTAGTGGATGGTGTGGTGGATGTAGTGGTGGATGTAGTTGATGTAGTGGTAGAGTGTAGTGGGTGGAGTGGGGATAGTGTAGTGGATGTAGTGGTGATGGGGAAGTGGTGATAGTGGGAATAGTGTAGTGGATGGAGTGGTGGATGTAGAGGTGATAGTGTAGTGGGGATAGTGGGAATAGTGTAGTGGATGTAGTGGGGGATGTAGTGTTGATAGTTAAGTGGATGTAGTGGTGATAGTGTAATGGATGTAGTGGTGATAGTGTAGTGTATGTAGTGATGATATTGTAGTGGATGTAGTGGTGATAGTGCAGTGGATGAAGTAGATGTAGTGGTAGAGGGAAGTGGATGTAGTGGTGGATGTAGGGGTGATAGTGTAGGGGATGTAGGGATGATAGTGTAGGGGATGGAGTGGTGATAGTGTAGTCGATGTAGTGGTGATAGTGTAGTGGATGGAGTGATGATAGTGTAGTGGATGTAGTGGGGATAGTGTAGTGGATGTAGGGGTGGATGTAGTGGATGTAGTGGGGGCTGTAGTGGTGGTAGTGTAGTGGATGTAGTGGTGATAGGGTAGCGGATGTAGTGGATGAAGGAGTGGGTGTAGTGGTGATAGTGGAGCGGATGTAGTGGATATAGTGGTAGATGTAGTGGATGTTGTGGGGGATGTAGGGGTGGGTGTAGTGTTGATAGTTAAGTGGATGTAGTGGTGATAGTGTAGAGGTGATAGTGGTAATAGTGTAGTGGACGTAGTGGTGGCTGTAGTGGTGATAGGGGAGTGGAGATAGTGGTAATAGTGTAGTGGACGTAGTGGTGGCTGTAGTGGTGATAGTGTAGCGGATGTAGTGGATGTAGTGGTAGAGTGTAGTGGATGTAGTGGTGATAGTGTAGCGGATGTAGTGGATGAAGTAGTGGATGTAGTGGTGATAGTGTAGCGGATGTAGTGGATATAGTGGTAGATGTAGTGGATGTTGTGGTGGATGTAGTGGTGGATGTAGTGTTGATAGTTAAGGGGATGTAGTGGTGATAGTGTAGTGGTGGATGTAGTGGTGGATGTAGTGGATGTAGTGATAGTGTAGTGGATGTTGTGGTGATAGTGTAGTGGATGTAGTGGTGATAGTGTAGTGGATGTAGTGGTCATAGTGTAGTGGATGTAGTGGATGTAGTGGATGTAGTGGATGTAGTGGTAGAGTGTAGTGGATGTAGCGGTGATAGTGTAGTGAATGTAGTGTAGATAGTGTAGTGGATGTAGTGGTGATAGTGTAGTGGATGTAGTGGTAGAGAGACGTAGAAGTAGTGGTAGAATGGAATGGAAGTAATGGGTGAGTGGAGGTAGTGGTGGAATCGAGGTAGTGGGAGAATGTGGTTTTAGAGTGGAGTGTAGACAGTGGTAGAATGTAGTGGATTTAGTGGTAGAGAGGAGTGGAGGTAGTGGTAGAGTGGAGTTGAGGTAATGGTAGATTGGAGTTGATAGTGGTAGAGTGAAGTGGAGTTAGTGGTAGCGCCGAACGTAATGTATGTAGTGTCGAATGTGTAGTGGATGTAGTGGTAGAGAGGAGTGGAGGTATTGGTGGAATGGAGGTAGTGGGATAATGTAGGGGATGTATTTATAGAGTAGAGTGTAGACAGTGGAAGAGTGTTGTGAATGTAGTGGTAGAGAGGAGTGGAGGTAGTGGTAGCGCCGAACGTAATGGATGTAGTGTCGAATGTGTAGTGGATGTAGTGGTAGAGAGGAGTGGAGGGAGTGGTAAAGTGGGATGTAGACAGTGGTAGAGTGTAGTGGATGAAGTGTAGGGAGGAGTGGATGTAGTGGTAGAGTGGAGTTGAGGTAATGGTAGAATGGAGTTGATATAGTGGTAGAGTGAAGTGGAGGTAGTGGTAAAGTGGGATGTAGACAGTGGTAGAGTGTAGTGGATGAAGTGTAGGGAGGAGTGGATGTA